CACACACACATTCTAGCCCGTGTGCTTCTTGTGGGGCTGAGAGAATGAGAGACCTGAGAATCCTGATCCTATAGCTACCTGAACACTTACACTGGGTGACCTTATGTGATTTGCCACCTGAGCCTCCATTCTTTCACCTGTCTTCTCTATGGGCCCCCAGCAAAACCTGAGGGAGGGAGCAGAAGAAAAAGCCACAGAATTAAATCGGGGTGATACGGGCTTCCCCAGCTTCCATAAGACCAGCTGCCACTGGAGAGTTTCCCACAGTCCAAACGTCAACATCCTTCTCAACCCTAAACTGGACAGAACTGGGAAAAGATTGGCATTTTCCACTCTTCCTGCACCCTGGCCACTGTCAGGAGCTCCAGACCTCCTCCTCAATACCAGAGCTGACCCCTGTTCTCCATGCCTTCTCTCCCAGGACTGCTTATCCCCTGAGGGAGAAGACAGTCCCTTGTAGATAATTCAACCCCCTTCTGCTGTGAAGTGTCTTCCAAGCGCCTCCACCTCAGGAAATGGCACTACCCTTTTTCCAGCTGTTTGGGCCAAAATCCCGGGAGTCACCCTTGTTTTCCTCTCCTTCCGCACATTTATCGGTAAGAACTGATTCCTGCTCCCAGATCTCGCCGCTTATCCCATCTTTGTCTTCAACAGTTACAGGCGTCTCCTAAGTGGCCTCCCACCTTCCACTCTTAACCCCACAGCTCATTCTCACATGTTATTAGATGCAGGGTTTCTCAGCCTCGGCACTATGGACATTTTGGCTTCATCATTCTTTGTGGTAGGGGTCTGTCCTGTGCATCGCAGTATGTTTAGCAGCAGCATGGTTGACCTGTTACCACTAGACGACAGCAGCATCTCGCCCCTTAGGATAATCCAAAGTGTCTCCAGACATTGTTAAAAGTCCCTTGGGGAGGACAGGTGAAGTAGAAAACTGCCCCCAGTTGAAAACCACTGACTTAGAGCAATCATTTTAAAATACAAATGGAATCATGTCTTTCTCTTTTACAAACCTCTCAGTGGTTTCCAATACTCCAACAATATACTCGTAAAAACTCTTTGCCATGGTCTACCAGACAGCCTGTCCCTGGCACTGGCTGGTCTCCATCTTTTTTCCTCTCCCTCTTCTCTCTCTGCTTCATCCATCTTGGTCCCCTTCTTGCCACCGTAGGGTCATTATATGTGTGGCTCTGCCCACAGAGCTG